AATATAAAAGGGATGTCAGCAGGGCCTCTTAATTTTGTCCTGACATTATTTCCATATCCCCAAAACAGGGAAACGATTCTAACTATAAATTAGAACATTAGATTAATCTCGGTACTGAAACACTGTAGTCTTCATTATTTATCATTATCTTCATCACAGTTGTTACAAATACTGTAATCTTTACAATTATTATTATCATCGTGTTCATGTTCGTTTTCGTCGTCCTCATTGGCTTTGAAAGATCTTGAAAACAGACCATCACATAATTACAATTGTTTATGGTTCGTAATAGGTATCTGTATTATGGATTCGGATTGCGAGCACGATGGAACCTGTAATATGGATATATTAATGTGCATGTGTACTTCTGGGTACAGTGGTGGCTTCTGTGAAATAGGTAAGATTTCCTAAAAACTACTACCTTTTAACCTATGCTTTCCATCTCCAATTGATCACGAATGCAAAGTTACATGATCTTAATTTAATTCGATGGCAATTATTAGTTCATTCCAAGCGACGAACTGACGAAGAACATTGCTATAATAATTGCTCTATCTTCCCAAATTACTAAAGAGTGAATCAAGCTAAACAAAAACATGAAGGTTGAACCCTGTAATTCTCCCACATATTTTATCGCTAATAAAAACAATATATTTCCATACCTGTCTGATATACATAGGTTTCATTGATGTATCATGTTCGGTTTTATTTTGATTACATATGCGCATATTAATTAGACGGACTTTTCATATCTGCAGATTCGCAAAAGTGACAAAAATTACTTATTAGGTGATACGTAACGAAGTCTACGTATCACCTATTTATTTCGTCAAGATTTTTATTTATTTATTTATTTATTTATTCTTCCTCGAATTTGTTCGCAAGATATCTCAAGACTGAATAAAGCCATTATCATGAAACTTGCCATGATGATAGATATTAGTCTAACTTAGAACTATGTGACTTTTCAGATAGTCAAGGTCATCGTGACGTCATCTAGGCGCCATTTTGTGAAAATCAACTTATGATCATATCTTCATAACGGAAAAAAAAATTTCATTCATATTTACCATGATTAAGATCAATATCCGTCCGGTCAATTTCAGGTCAATAAACGTGCGCAAATTTGCGCGTGCGCGCAAAAATTTAAAATGCTCTAAATCATCCCAAATTTTGTTTGCATACGTTTCAGGCAATATAGAGCATTTGACAAAAAATCACGCTCACGCGCATGCGCGCGCGTTTTTAGCGCGTACTAGCATTTTGCAACATAGAATCGCCGAATTTCCTCTATCATCATATTTGGCACATTTTTCCAAGCATTTTGATAACTTGTTCATCTTTTAATAACGCAATGAGCGTCCGTCAAATTTGAAAGCGCGCGCGGAACTGCGTTATCTTTATCCAAAATACATGAGCAAAAACATGCCTATACAAAATTCTTTGTAACTCTTCAGAATAGATAGAAACTCCCAATATTTTTTCATATTTAGATAGATTATGAGTTGGAAATATGATTTCATGTCTCATTTGACCCTCAATTAAGTCATAACGTCATCATAATGGCCTCCAAACTCAAAATTTTAATTTGCATATTATGACGTCAATATATTTTTGGAAAATTGATAGTATCTCTCTTAATATTTATCAATTTTCTTTCAAATTTTGATTTGTTCTAGCTGAGACAATTTTCTACAAATGTAGTGACCACAATTTTTCAGTTTGACAAAGTTATCATGGAGTTTTTTGCGATTAAAGGAGGCATGTCATTTTTTCACATTTGGCGTGTATTGTCTATGGGACATGACTATTTCTCAAAACTGGATTCTACATTTCCGTCTTTCGCGAGCAACATCTCCGTTGTTTCAACTTTGTTTTCGTTGAGCTTCGGGTATGTTGTAGCTGAGACAATAAGCTATCTACATTGTGCACTTTATTTTTCGATCATATGCCGGGATCATGCTATTTTACTTGCAAAGTGGGATTTGAGAATTCTATTTTCTGTTTACGTGTAATCGCTACGGGAAATGTTTTGGTGTATCGGTAACGCACTTGACTTCCGACCTTGAGATCCCGGGTTCGAGTCCGGGTGTCTCCAACAATTTTTTTCTCAACTTTTTTTTCTTGTTGACCTTTCACTGTACCATCTCCTTTGATTGTTAAAACACGTAGAATCGCAAATAATGTAATAAACAACCCTATTTACTTTATTGTTACCCTATTTTCACTTAATCCATTACTTTTTGCGTGTAATCCCTATGGGAGATGATTTTTTTTTCTCAAATCTGGATTCTACATTCCTGTCTTTTGCGAGCATTATCGCCCTTATTTCAGCTTGGATTTTGTTGATTTTTGAGTATGTTGTAGCTGAGACTATGTGCTATCTATTAAAATCACCCCTCATTTGTTTTTCAATAAGATGTCAGGATCCCGCTTATGATCATGATCATCATGATCATCATTATCATAAAGATGATAATCATTTATCAATTACACTTTCATTTCTTTGAATAAGATAAAATCGTCAAAATGTGTTCTTCATGATGTAAATTAGAGTCAAAGGTGTAACTGGTTACTGCGCAGGGTCAATGGTCATATATTGTTTCAATCTATCTTCCCTAGATCCATAATGATCAAGGGGACACAATTTAAACTTGACATATGGATAGATCTTAGTGGGAGAAGCATTTCATAAAATAATATTATATCGTGTAATGCATTCTTTATTTCGTAAACCATTAGCATACGTATCACCTAATTCGTCAAAGTGACGAATTAAAGTCTAGTTTTGTTTGCTTCTGTTTACAAAACGGTAATACATATATGAATTTTCTTTTTTGTATTTTTTACCACAAAGATGATATTTTAGTGTCTGATAATTTAATTTATTATTTGTGTCCGAGAAAGTGATGAATTAAGTTGTCAACTTTGTCGAATTTTGCCATTTTTGCCAATTTGACCATTTCTGGCAGGTTTTTCGGTAATTTTGCTATATAAAAAAAAAATGGTATAAAATCACAACGCATTGACCGATTTCAATTCTGTTTTTTCTTTTTTGAAGCTTTCATAAAGCTTGATCATTTGCAATCATTAAATAACATGTGTTTGTTGTACTTATTTTTGGTGTGCTATACCTAATTCCAGACATTCCAGTGCTGACAGATTTTTAATAGCCTATTTTATGTCTTTTTTTCATGGAAAAACGTTTGGGGAGATTCAAAAATGGTTGGGAGAATTTACTGTTAATCACTGTTAGAGAGTGTCATACATTGACGCCTTCAAAGAAAACCATAGATATCTTTGTGGTTTGAGAATATTTTCAGGATTTTTGGCATGTCAGAGGGATAGTACAGTATAAGTAATATAATGAACAACAATTTATACAAAAAAATAGCAATTTTCTCATCAATCTTCAACAATGTTACCGAGTCACTTTAAAAAAACACTTTTACACAATTTTCCTGTTAATCGCAAAAGATTTATAGAAAAATCTGACGATATGAAAATGATTTTCTTATCACGTTCATTCCAATGATTGTCACTGAATCTGAATTCACACAGATATCGACGAATGTGCCAGCAATCCTTGTGTGAATGAAGGAGTGTGTAACAATCTAGTTGACAGATTCACCTGTGACTGTGTTGGTGGCTATGATGGGATTACGTGTGATGCAGGTAAGCTTTTTTATAAGCCCGATTCAGATTACATTCCTATATCAATACACTTGTTAAGTAAAGCAAAATATAAAAAAATATTGTATGTTGCTCATTAAAAATGTTTACTATTAAAGGTGTCTTAAAACTCATATCATGTTATTATATTTCCGCGTCCATTTTGTTTAAATATTTCACACCCAAATGAAAGGTCATTCGCTTAGTTAACTTGTTTTCTTCAATATCCACATATATCTCTGTCAGACAACGATAATTATTTTGGACAATTTTACTACTTCTAAGTCCATAATATGGAGAAACAAAATTGGACAAAACATGAAAGATTTAGATTATTCACTTTTAATATTTATTTAGTAATAGTTTTACAAATGAAGTAGTTTCTTTCTTAATTGTCATCAATTTGCATTTTAAAAAACAAATTTTACTTGATTTTCCTTTTAATCGCCGAAAAATTTATAAACAAATCTGACAAAATGGAAATGATTTTCTCGCCACGTTTATCGCAAAAATTAGTATTTAAACTCAATTTATACAGATATCGACGAATGTTACCCCGACACCTGTCTGAATGGAGGAGAGTGTAACAATTTCCCTGGCAGCTTCACATGTGACTGTGCTGCTGGCTATGAAGGGATTACGTGTGAAACAGGTAAGTTTATATTAAGTAGAAGCAGATTACATTCCTATATTAATACACTTTATGTCAAGCGAAATCCAAATAAATATTGCATTTTGCTCATTCAGAAATTATACATAAAGATTGAAGAAGAATCAAAACTGAAATATATAGTCACTGGAGAGGAAACTCTGGAAAGGGTGTTTTACATTTTGGTGCGGTTCTTAGAACAATTTTGCTTCTCTTGATTATGAGTAGCACAAGGGGAAAAGAGAGTGCATGTCTATAAGTAGAGAAGATTTGATATTGTGGTTCCCAGAGCGATCTCTGTTTATTAATATTTGTTTTAAGGTATGATAAGAGTGGCATATTTCATTTTGATGAAAACGATTCAACTTTTGGCGCTAAGTTGTCTTAAAACTCAGACATTGTTATAACATTTCCACGTAATTACAAACAAAATATTTCACCCCGAAAGACAGTTCAATTGCCTAGTTTAGTTTTTTTTTTTTTCAAGGGCCACATCAAAGTTTGTCAGACAATAATAATTGTTTGGGGGATTTTTTCTACTTGTAAGTCCATTATTTTTGAAAAAAATTCGGACAAACCAAGATAGATTTAGTGTTTTTACTTCATTTCATTTCATTATCAATTTAAAAAAAAAATAAAGTATTGGGCTTTCTCAATTGTCATTAATTTGCTTTTAAAAAAAAAAAATCAATTTTTACTTGTTTTTCCTGTTAATCGCCAACAGTTTTTTGAAAAATCTGACGATATGGAAGTTATTTTTTTGTCACTTTCATTCCAATGATTGTCATTGAATCTCAATTTACACAGATATCGACGAATGTGCTTCCGGTCCGTGTATGGCTAATGAAGATTGTACTGATGGAGTAAACATGTATACTTGTGCCTGCTCTCCAGGTTATGCTGGGACTCCGTGCGAAGGTAAGCTATCAACTTAACCCGTTGACTACTGAATTCTCTAGTTCCCATAGACTTAATACAGGGAGCACCCGGTTCCAGTTGGCAATGGGTTAAAGCAGATTACATACAAACACCTATAACATAATGCAAATGCTCTTTTCTCATCAAGACATTATAGATACCCAGGCTTTCATGCTTCGTATCAGAGTCAAATTCCGTCACAAAATTACTTTTTTACTCTTTCGTTTATAACACCAGATGGCGATTTTCAATGAACTTGTTTGGAATATACACCTTTCAGTGAAACAAATGTACGTGTTGTTGCTGTCCAAAACACTGTGGTTTTTTCACGATAATCAGACTGGATTATAGCTGTGTTTTTCACCTGACGACTGAACATCAATATTCTTATTACAAAATAGAGAACACATTAAACATTAAAGGAGATATTTAGTTCACTACTTCATTTAAGTTATGTATTGATAGCTTTACGAAGGAGGTTATTCATTCCTTAAAGGGTTTCGGTAACTTTGTCTTAGATCCTTTAAAAAATCCTTGATTTAGCTCATACTGCAATGATAATCATAAACTTTTAGGTTAGTGAGAAACCCCATGACTTTTACAAGCCGAGCGCCTGTCTGATTTTCAAGATATTTACGATTGAGAAATGAAATCAAATTTTGCGTTTGCCAAACGGTTTTCATAACACTACAGTCTAATGGGGAAAACGAATATTGTAATACCGGTCACTTACAGGTTTTACTTTTTGAGGCACTTCTTGATCATTTTGAGCGTAATTTTTTTAGGGCTTCAATATAACGCCATATCACAGACATTGGTAACACGTAGGGCTTTGCATCTCAGAATTAACATTGTTAAACGATCCCTTTAACTGTTATCATTTAAAATGCCAATTTTGACTTAATTTTCTTATTATCCGTCAAAAAAAGATAAATTCGTCAAAAGGGAAATTATTTTTCCTGTCGCTTTTATTTCATTCATCTTCTGTGGAACTCAATTTGCACAGATATCGACGAATGTGCTTCCGGTCCGTGTATGGCTAATGAAGATTGTACTGATGGAATGAACATGTATACTTGTGCCTGCTCTGCTGGTTATGCTGGGACTCCGTGCGAAGGTAAGCTATCAAGTTAAAGCAAATTACATACAAACACCTATAACATAAAGCAAATGCTCTTTTCTCATCAAGACATTATAGATACCCATGCTTTCATGCTTCGTATCAGAGTCAAATTCAACTCACGTTTTGCATCTTCACTCGATCAGCAGTGAAAAGTCACAATGTTAATTTAGTTTGATGGACTTTTTTAGTTGATTCCCAGCGACGGCCTGACGTACAAACTTTATGAATCATTCTATCTTCCCAAATTACACAAGCGTGAATCAAGCTACAGTGTCAAACATAAATGAGAAGGTTGACAAGTTGTAAGGCTACCCCGGGTCCTATCGCTATAAATAGTCTATTCCGTCACAAAATTACTTTCAATCTTTCGTTTGTAACACCAGATGGCGATTTCTAATGAACTAGTTTAGAATATACACCTTTCAGTGAAACAAATGTTCAACTAGTTGACTGTTTACTATATTTCAAAGTTTAATGATATTGTAATACATACCAAGTATTTGTTATCTAGTCACAAAACTAGGTGTTGTTGTTGTCCAAAACATTGTGTTTTTTTCACAATATTTAGACTGGATTATAGTTGTGTTTTTCACTTGACGACTGAACATTAATATTCTTATTAAAAAATAGAGAACACATTAAACATTAAAGGAGATATATAGTTCATTTACTTCATTTAAAGTGGCATGTTCCCCGTATTCCAGAGGGCGTTCGAAATACGTACCCGCTGGCGGACGGTGCTAGCTGCCTATTGACACCAACAGAATATTGCTCTTACGCAGATGGCATGTTCCGAATGCCCGCACAATGCCGATTATCGCATTGATGTGCCGAAGTAATATCAATCGCAGTTCGGTTCTAAGATTCGGCTGCTGTTTCCGCCCACTTTCGTGACGTCAGGATCGGCAGCGATCAGCTGGCTTGACGAAGGCAGGCCAGGCCGCGCGTACTTTGATTGACAGCTGTATGCAAATTAGAAGTCGATCTTCGGAACCAAGATGGCGATGACTAGAGCAGCGATAACTACAATGGCGGGAACTTGCCCCTTTAAGTTATGTATTGATAGTTTTCCGAAGGAGGTTATTCATTCCGTAAAGGGTTCAGGTAACTTTGTCTTAGATCCTTTAAAAAAATCCTTGATTTAGCTCATACTGCAATGATAATTATAAAATTTTAGGTTAGTCAGGAACCGCATGACTTTTACAAGCCGATCGCCTGTCTGATTATCAAGATATTTACGATTGAGAAATCGAAATCAAATTTTGCGTTTGCCAAACGGTTTTCATAACACTACAGTCTAATGGGGAAAACTAATATTGTAAAACCGGTCACTCGCAGGTTTTACTTTTTGAGGCATTTCTTGATCATTTTGAAGCGCAATTTTTGTAGGGCTTCAATACAACGCCATATAAGAGACATTAGTAACACGTAGGGCTTTGCATCTCAGAATTAACATTATTAAAACGATTCCTTTAAGTGTTATTATTTAGAATGCCAGTTGTGACTTAATTTTCCTATCATCCGTCAAAAAAAGATAAATTTGTCAAAAGGGAAATTATTTCTCCTGTCGCTTTTATTTCATTCATCGTCTTTGGAACTCGATTTGCACAGATATCGACGAATGTGCTTCCGGTCCGTGTATGGCTGAAGAAAATCGAGCAAAATCCAAATATATATTGCATTTTGCTCATTGAGAAATTATACATAAAAATCGGAGAAAGAAAAAAATACTCAAAGATATAGTCATTGGAGAGGAAACTCTCATTTCACCCCAAAGAAAAGATCAACTGCCTATGTTAGTTTTATTTTCTTTAAGGGCCACATATATGTTTGTCAGACAACGATAATTGTTTTGGAGATTTATTCTACTTCTAAGTCCATGATCTGGGAAATAAGTTCAGACAAAACAAGATAGATTTAGTTTGTTTACTTTATTTGATTTATGTATCTAAAGTTTTACATATCAATAGTTCTGTTAATCGCCAAAAATTTAATAGAATAACATACATGCCAACTGTTCAGATTAAAGAGGAACATTCCTCTTTTTGGGAGAAGATAATTATCATTTTAATGCAGGTGTTCCACTTCCTGTACAAATTTGTCTGTAGTATTGAATAGGATAGTTAGGATTGTTCCTCTTTTTTTTTTTTAAATAGCATAATTTGTACAGATTTCTGATTTTCAAATGTTGGCATGTAAGGAATAATCTGACAAAATGGAAATGACTTTATCATCACATTGATTCCAGTGATTGTCATTGGATCTCAAAATACACAGATATCGACGAATATGCCAGCAATCCCTGTTTCAATGGAGGAGCGTGTAAAAATTTAGTTGACAGATTCACCTGTTACTGTGTTGGTGGCTATGCTGGGATTACGTGTGATTCAGGTGTGGCTTATATAAAGTCGAAGCAGATTACATTCCTATATCAATACACTATTTAGATAAAGCAAATCCCCAAAAATATAGCATTTTGTTCATTGAGAAATTATATGTAAAGTTTGCAATTTGACGAATTACGTGATACGTATGCTCATGTTTCACATATTGAAGAATGCATTTTCATGATTTCTTATCATCATATAAAATATGCTCCTCCCATAAAATGATCTATCCATATGTCAAGTTTCAACTGTGTAGCATTGATCATCATGAATCAATGGAAGATAGAGCGAAACAATATGACCATTGACCCCGTAAGATAAGCAGTTACACCTTTGACCCTAATTTACTCTTTTTTTTTTTTTTTAAAGAACAATGAATTTTCAAAATTTCATCTCATTTTATGAAATACTCCGCCTGTTATGTTCTACCTAAATTTAAATTTTTAGCTTAGTATCAACCGTCACCTTGTCAGATAGTCCAAAACGGGAGGGTACCCGTGATAAAATCAAATATAAACGAAAGCAAAAAAATCAAAACAAAAAAATCAATAGAAAATTGACTACCGGGAGTTCGAGCGTGTGTCGCCGGAAAAGGAAGCACGTGCTTTAACCAATAGACCTTAATATTTCTCACAGACTTTACATGTAAAGCTGACAAACGGCCTTGGCATCATCGCAATTCAATTGATCCCAACATCTGATCAAAAAACAAAAGGCACACTGTATATCGCTTGTAATCTCAGCTATATCATAACAAATTTTGGGGGAAAATAGAGCAAAAATAAAAGAGAGATAATGCTCAAAGAACAATGTATTGTAGATTCAAGATGTAAACAAAATCCACCTTCCTTAGACAAAACATGCAAATTACGAAAATCTGACGTGTCGCCTTTGATTTCAATTTTACATATGATGACGTTATCAAAATCAAAACAAAGTGGAATTGACTTTAAAGAAAGTTGTTTTAGCTTCAAGATTTGGAAGAAAATCGATCATTTTTTACAGAGTCCTGGCGACATCGTCAGAAACCAGATAGAATATATTGCCATAAATTGCCATAATAGGGGCTGACTGCGGGAGTGATCATGTGCCGGTGATATGTACACTTCAGTGCAAATTAAAGAAACTCAAGAGACCAAAAGTTGTGAAAATATTGGATTTTAAACAGTTGAGTAAACCGGACATACGTAAAGAATTTACTGTACAAGTAAAGAATAGGTTTGAGTTGCTCATAGATGAAGGTAAAGAAAACACGTGGGAGACGATGAGAAATAGTCTGGTAGAAACAGCGGAAGAGTATGTGCCGACGAAAGAGAGAAAGAGAAAGAACAAATGGATGACAGAGGAGATTCTTTTGAAAGATAGACAGAAAATTGGAAATAGACAATGCAAGAAATATAGGGACCTAGACAAACAAATTAGGCAAAAATGTAATGAGGCAAAAAAGAGCTGGCTAAACGAACAATGTGTATAAATTGAAAACCAATTCGATAAGAATAGTAATGTTTACCAAAGAATAAATGAGATTTCAGGTAAAAAAGTCTGGTTGTTCAAACCCTGGCTGTATCAAAGGAAAAGATGGGTCAATCCTGTTTGAAATGAAGGACAAAATGAGTAGGTGGACGCAATACAGTGGCGAACTTTTTGAGGATATTAGGGAAGCAATGCCAGGTTTTGCAGATGAAGTCAAAGGGGAGAAAATTCTTAAATCTGAAGTCCGTTGGGCAATGTCAAAGCTGAAGAAGAACAAAGCAGCTGGACCAGATGGTGTGGTCACTGAAATGTTTGAAGCATTAGAGGAATATGGTGTTGATAGATTAACAGAAGTTATCAACAAAATATATGATGACGAAATATTTCCAGATGAATTGGGCAGATCCATTTTCATTACTATCCCAAAGAAACCGGGAGCCGTGGATTGTGAGCAATATAGGACAATCAGCCTTATTTGCCATATCACTAAGATTATTTTGAGGATTCTGCTTTTGAGAGCAAGAAGTAGCATAACTCCCATGGTCGGAAGGGAACAATTTGGTTTTGTAAAGGATGCGAGCACAAGAAATGCAATATTTGTGGTTAGAAATATAACGGAGAGAGCAGTCGAAATGCAAAAGGATGTGTACATGTGTTTTATTGATTATTCAAAGGCTTTTGATAAAGTAAGACATTCAGAACTTTTTGAAGAGCTGAAAAAGCCTGATATAATTGTATAGGAAAGATCTAAGACTGCTATAAAGTCTATATTGGAATCAGTTTGCATGCATCAGGGTAGAAGGAGAGTTTAGTGAATATATCAACATCAGACGGGGAGTCAGACAGGGTTGTGTTATGTCGCCAGACCTGTTCAATATGTTTAGTGAAATCATTCTAAGAGAATTGGAAGATGAAAATGGGATACAAGTGGGTGGTCATTCATTCACATATATCAGATATGCTGATGACACTGTTTTATTTTCTGAATCAGAGAAAGATCTCCAGAAACTCCTGAACGTAGTTGTAAAAGAAAGTGAGAGAATGGGACTAGAGATCAACTATACCAAGACAAAGTGCCTGGTGGTATCGAAGAAGAGCAGTCCAAAATGTAACTTGAAACTGAAAGAACAGACTATTAAACAAGTCTCCTCATTTAACTACCTCGGCAGCATGATTACCGAGGATGCCAGATGCGAGACAGAGATCAAGAGAAGGATAGCTCTCGCTAAATCTGCATTTTCAAAGTTAGGCAAAATTCTGACAAATCGAACAATGTGTATGAGGAACAGAATAAGGGTATTGAATTGTTACATCTACCCAGTACTTATGTATGGTAGTGAAACATGGAATTTAGCCTCTGATACTAAAAAGCGTTTGGAAAGTTGAGAAATGTGGTTTCTAAGAAGAATGATGAAAGTCCCCTGGACTGACAAAGTTAGTAATGAGGAAGTTCTTACACGAGCTGGAGTGCAAAGGAAAAAGATACGTGAGAATGTGCATACATTGTGTGCGGGTAAGCCGATGACCGGGGTAATAGTATGTATATCTGTAAGGCGCTTTGATAGGGCCCTCCTGGAAAAGCGCCATATAAGAAATAGTTATTATTATTGATATTATTACACGTAAAGAAGGCCTAGAGAATCTTGCTTTCACAGGGAAAATTGTGGGAAGAAGGAGTAGGGGAAGAAGGAGGATACTTTGGATGGACAGTCTGCAGAAATTGTTGGAAGGGAGTGGAGTGAAAGAACTGGGAGTGGTACTAATACAGAAGGCTAGGAGCCGAGGGTTGTGGAACAGAATGATCGCCAAAGTCAAACCATATGGCACTTAGAGAGAGAGAGAGAGATTTACAGAGATACAATCAATTTACCATAAATATGCTGACGTCATAATATGCAAATTCGTATTTTGAGTTCCATGACCATTATATGATTACATCAAGATGTACTTAATGGCCAAATGAGACATGAAATCATATCTTATACCCATACCCTACCCAGGCGCGTAGCCAGGGTTTGATGTTTGTTGGGGGGGGGGGGCACATACATGTAATCGATCGAGGTCAAAAAAGGGGTCTAAAAAATGCAACCGATCCTGGAAATTTAGGGGGGGGCATGTGCCCCCCCCCCCCCACGTGGCTACTCGTCTGACTCTATCTAAACATTAAACAAAATTGGCGGTCCTCAATAATCCCAAAGAGCTATAATGGACTTGTTATAGGCATGTTTTTGTCGATTATGCAATATTTTAAAAGAGCTAGCGCGCAAGGACATTTATTTTTAACGGACGCCCATTCCATTATTAATGGTCATAAACAGATGGAAATGGTATCAAATTGTTCGAAAAAGTATGAGAAATATCATGAAAGAAAAAAATAACGATTCTATGTTGGGCACGGCCGTTACGAACGAAAACGCACGTGTGAGCGATTTCTGTTTGTTGAAAAGTGCTCAAAATGGCCTAAAACATTTAGGAAATGAATTTGAGACGATTTGGAGCGTTTTAAAATTGTGCTAGCGCTTAAACGCGCGGACATGCGAATAAAAGTTTGAACATTAACCATTCTTATCCCACCTTTATCATAATATTGTATCATTTGGTTTCGGGTAACTCTATTCATACCTTTCCAGATAAACTTAGATAATGTTCTATAACCTCTGTTGGTGGATCTGGAATAGTTATAATCAAATACGTTAACTTTGAAAGTAGGAGGTATTTTTATACAACAATGATCCTTCCTACAGCGGTAAGATTTGTCTTAGACCACTTATTTATCAAACTCTTAATATACAACAACACTTTCTGGTAATTTCAAATTAATCATTTCATCCAACTTAGTAGTAAAGAATATACCAATCGGAATTCTTCGTACGAGTCAAAAAGTATTTTGGTTTATAGGAAACTAATGGTTAGTAAATAATAAAAAGAACCTTTAGCAAAAACGAACCTTGGGAAAGTATACTTATCGCAACGACTAGCATTAGGAGTTCCCAAGTTGTTGCCAGTGGTTGAATATTTGCCTTTTCTCTTTCTTTGACATTACCCCTTCATTTCTTAAACGTAAATTATTTATAACAATATGTTTAGACAATGTTGCCCAGGAAACTGAGGAATGAAACTACAAACATTAATTTGTTAATTCTATGCTACTACAATTTTACTAAAACTTTACTTCTGACAGTTATCACTGATCCTTGCACCCAACCAAACCTGTGTGTCAATGGTCTCTGCAGTCATATTGGACAAGGGCAGTACGAATGTGAATGTCAAGATCATTATGAGGGAATCCATTGTGATGAATCAACTCGTAAGTCATTTGTTTGGATTTTAAATATGTATCTGAAAGGTGTTACGTTATGCAAATCCATGATTTACATCGTTTCGTAAGACGGGTGAATACTGAGGAACTTTAACTTGGAAATCGATTCGACTCATTGTTTTACCATCAGAAATAATGATCCACTTTTTATTTCTAGATAAGTAAATCAAATATCTTTTCATCATCTCTGGATATTAAAAAAAAAATTTAGGGGGGGGGGGGGGAGCTTTTACTTATCTGTCTCACTATCTATTCGGGTGTAGAAAACGGATACATTTTAGGAATTTATTCCTTAAATGCTATTAGGGCCTTATAGCAAGTGTAGGGCTCATAATACTATTTTGTTGGTGTAATGTAGCTGTACTTATCATTTTTAGTAGAAGTAGTAGTAGTAGTAGAAGTAATAGCAGTAGTAGGGAATTGGTATTATTATTATTTATTCAATGAAAATATTATTATTATTATCATTATTAATATTTGTATTACTATTATTGGTATCATAATTATTTGAATTTGTATTCCTTTTCTTCTGATTCTTCATGTTATTATTATCATTGTTTTTTATTGTATTTGTTGTTATTATTAATATTATTATCATTATTACTACTATACTACTATGGTTGTCATCATTATTGATGATTAAATTACCTCATTCACTGTCGCATGTTCTAATTCCCCCTGAAATGCAGTTCCTTTGGAGGTTTCTGTCCATCCGTCAAGCCAGATAGTCAACATCAATGCCAGAGTGGAGCTGACATGCACTTTCAACAATGTCAAGCGATACCACTGGTACAAAGATGATGTCCTTTTGCCCAACAGTGTAAACCAGAATCCTTTGATAATCCTGTCTGTCGCGCCCAGTAACATCGGGTATTACTTCTGCCGAGGCTCAGGAAGAAATGGAGAAACTTTAGACACGATGCCAGCATCTGTATATGTCAAAGGTAAAAGCTTTGCAATAGGCCAACAAAAGAAAAATAACCAGATTTAGGGTTGTGTCTATCCTTCAATCAAGGTGACCTGTGTGTGTATGTGTGTGTGTGTGTGTGTTTGGGTTTTTACAGACATGTATCAATCAGATATGGTTGTTTACGTCTGTGGACCGACCTTTAACGTCACCATCCGAAAGACGTGACTCCGTTTCGAACCTGCGTCCTCGGTTGAATCAGTTTGTAACTTCCATTGTAAGCTGGACTACAGGCACACGCCACAACGCCCAACAACGCCCCCTGTGTACTCTAGCCAGCTTTTATATGAGCCCTCCAAATGCATGGAATACCCTATTGTTATTGCGAAAAGTTTCATGCAGGCAGCATGGAGCTTGCAGGCTTTGAATAAATACGTTATTAATGACTAAAACGTCCTCAGCATTAAATCTGTGTGGCCTGTATTGGCATTTGTCCCTAAACTTTGCAAATAAACATCAGGTTTTTGCTGTTCCGTTTTACATGCTCTGATGAAACCCCCCCCCCTTATCCTCAGTTGTCTGTCATTTTTCTTCCTCATTTCCCTCCTCTTCTTCGGGCACTGGGAGGGGGGTGGTGTCCCCTGTGCCCTCCCCTAAATCTGCCATTGATTCTTGTGATGTATGTTTGTATTTTCAGATCTGACCAATATAAAAGTTTTGAATGCTAGATTTGCCATTTCATTCCGCGATGAGCTTTATGACCAAACTTCTAAACTCTATGGAGAAACGGCGTTCAACATCAGCACCTTTGTAAGTATCCTTCACATTACTGGTGCATATTTGAGATGCCGATCCCGTTATAGTGATATTCTACAAGGCACGGCCTAATATTGTTTTGGGTTTAAAATGTACAGTTTAATTCTAGAATGCGAGTACATTGTGAAACAACTTTCCTAGCAGCAATTGTTAAAGGCTGATTGCATGTACATGTAACATGAACTTTATCAGCTATTCTCATCATTGTCTCACCTTTCGGTGGTACAGACTATACTACGCAACTGATCCGAAGGCATTCTTCCTCCGTCGCCCGTAACAAGTGTTAAAGTTTACCTGCAAAATTAGACTCTGTCGTGACAAATATTATGGTGCTGTCGAGGGTTGCATAATAATGTAAGGTCAGAGCTTATTTTGTTGGCCTCTCCTGTGACAAATAACTTCGCAACTAGCGATAATATTTTCGATAACTTTGCAACTGTTTATTCTATTGTGACCATACTTGCTTCGTATCCTTTTCGGTGTACCGCTTATAAGCTTTAAGTTTTTACTCTGAATACATGGTTCGTAGGTGCAACCAAACTTGAGTCAGTGATGCTCTTTTAAGACATTCATATAAATTTGGTCAGAGATGCGCGAGACACACTTGGCTTTTGCCTTTCAATTTAAATTTGATGAGTTGTGAACCATTAGAACCAGTATTTTCAGGGGACAGTTTTTTCTATGACATGTTTGCAACATGTCCAAACTGAGGTAACAAAATGTGTAAGCTCACAAATTACTTCTCACCTTTACCAATACTCAACCTTATCTTTAATAATTGAAAAAAATCATGATACTCTTGTATCACAGCAAAAGCAGCCCCGAAATTTGAACAGCCACCCCAGTTCTTAAACAGCACCAGTTCATACAGATGATACAGATACTTTCACTCAGTTCTTGAAGTTTATTCAAACTGCAGTTCTACCACAAGTAAAATCAACTTACGAATTTCCGTTCTGACGTATACTTTTAGAAGTTACAAGAGAGTACCAGTCTTAAACAAGGACATATCTATTAAACGTTCTACCTTTTTTATTTGTTGTTTCTTACCTGTGTAAAGGTGGAGCAAGGCCTCCGAACCAGTACTGGGTTGGAGGATGTATCAGTAGTATGCAGAGCCCTAAGACCAGGAAGCGTCAAAGCTGACATGAATATCTTCATCGAGCCGACCAATATGACGGCACTGGAGACACAAAATCTTATCGGTCTTTCTCTTGAGAGTCTAGCCAATGAATCGAATGGTTTTCTCGATTCCAACACCATTTCAGTTCAAAATAACGGTACCAAGTTCTTTCATATACATATAGTTCTGAAAGTCAGTGTATATATATCCAGCATTGTGTATAAAGACATGGGGCACCCATAGAGGGATGTCGGGTAGGGGACGCGAAAAGCCAGGGGTCACAACGTATTTTGTCTCGCCTTTCTATTTTTACTCATTGCAAGCATTTATTTCACATGGGCCTTCAAAGGGGGTAGAGCTATGCTGAATGCGCCACTGAACTGGCATGTGAATTTGGTACCCTAGGTATTTCGAAATGCAAGAGTGTTATACACACAAACACACCCACGCACGCACGCACACGTATGTGCATAATACTTATATAGGCTATATAGATATATATACACATGTGTGCGCATGTGTGTGTGCGCGCACAAGGTCATTCAATTTTTGTGCTGCCTTGTGGCCCTTCATTTGATATATACTCCTTAATTATCATTCTTGGTTATAGTTATCAAAATCTATGCATGGAATGGAAGATTCAACGTGCGGAGAAAAGGTGATTTGTTTAACTTGCCAAGGCCCCATGTTTAAGACGAAAATGCAAGAAGGTAACTACAAAAACTTGACCAGGCGCCTTGTTAAGGCCTAAAACTAGTTAAGGCTCCTTATTTAAATCGAGAAGGCAACTAGATCGCCTTCTCGGTTTGAACAAGGCGGTTTTTTTAGTTGTTAAGACACGCCCTCTCGCTTTCACGACTATAACATGGCGCCTTGGCGAGTTCAACAAGTTGCTTTCTTGCGGCACGTTTAATAATCCTGAACAGTGGGCACCTCTTAGTAAAAATGAATATCTGCACATTTCTCAGCATTAGTTTTATTGTAGATAAACAAACATTGAATTGAATTTTGTTCAAGCTTTTTTTTCTTTTTAATGCTTTTTTAAAATTTCTTTTTGTGAAGCTATTTGCCAGAATATCTCGTGGATTTCTCCTCGGTTTGAAAGAGTCGAATTTCCGGTGGGTGAAAATGGAACATGGGCAAATTCAACAGGAATGTGTCCTTTCAACACTACTCAAGGTTGGTTTTGATGGTCATTCATTTATTTATTTGAGGAAGTGGACGAGGCATTAAGTTGAATAGCACGACCAATGTGATCATACCCCTAAAGGTTTGTTCAGATATGGAGCGATAAACCGCCGCGAAAATAGATACCCCAGCTTTTTTTCGTTTTTTTTCTTTTTTTTTGTGGGGGGGGGGGGGTAACGCGTTAATGAATAGCAACAGCACGTAGTAAATTTCTTTGGCATATGCACTTATCTCTGTGTCAAAAGATGTAGTAATGTGCAGCGTATTACACTTTACGTCATCATGAACAAACAAACCGTTACGGATTTGCCACGTCATATCTGAACAGGCATTTAGGCTTGCAAAAGTAGCTCTAGACTATGGACGACATTGAAGCTATAACGCAAATTCTGTTTAGACTGTGATGACAGTTAAATTGAAAGAGACTCGCAACACTATTTCCAAAATATCCTCGTTATCCTGATGTCCAACCGATGTAGTTTTTTTCCCTTCAGTATTGAACATTAGCAAATCAAGATGAAGGCTTGGAGGCTGAAAGTCCCTTCCTATTGATATTCAAGCCCCCGAACTATTTTTTGAGTAAATCTGAATTTAAGCGAGGCACACATAGGAAAAATAAATGCAGGAACCCCCAAGCCTCCAGCCTTCAGACCTAAATTAATATTCGGAGGTGTTATTGAATGTGTTGGATAGCTCCAGAGTCATGAATTATTTGAGACAGATTTCGTAGACGCTACTTCTTTACTTTCTTTATGTCTCCTTCTTTCTTTTTATATGGTTATAATTGTTTGCCAGTGTTCTTTCGATATATATACAATATATATATATATATATATATATATGTATTTCTTTTTATACCAAACAGCCAATGAACCCATTGGACGGGCTCTGTGTATCGGCGATGGTATTACCCAGAGCCAGTGGCAACCTGTGGATAATTGCGGACCATTTAGAAATGTCACAGATATTCTCACTGAAATTGCACAGGTTTTTGGAATTTTATATTCAAATTTCGATCATTGAAAAGATGCTTTTTAATAACCTTCATTTGTAATTCAATCGTGTTTAGTAAAGTATAGATACCACTGACTTTTACAACCTGGAGAAAGAAAAGACGATTATAAAAAATAAAATATAAGTATAAGATGACCTTTCATTGCGTAGATTTCACCCGATTTGGTACTTTATTTTTACCAAGTATTGTTTACATTTTTACCCAGTATTGTGTACATTTAAAAGCAATAAACATTCATTTTCCTTTCTTACTCAACTTTTTTTTTTAGAGTGTATCCTTACTTTACATTTGAAAACTATAAAAGCATGCATAACAGGCAATGAATAGCCCGTGGACAATCAATTCTATTGGTTTTAATTCCAATCGCAAATGCGCTGGAAGATGTTTACTTAAAGGTAATGCAAAGTTTTGGGAAATTATGAAAATTGAATTGATAGTAATTCTTTAAAATGTTGATATACTTGGATGCCCCTGTGAATGTTTTATAAGCACTAGAAAATTTAGCCCCTAAAACACTTCTGCTTTCGAGAAATTGAATGATACAAAATTTACTATGCTCCCGGTAAATTTCAAATAATTCAAATAGCGTCTAAGGCCATTCTATGGTAGCTGCGACCATGAAAATATGCAGTTCTGATATATAATTTCCAAACTGGAATAGCAAATCGATCGATCGTAGTCAAGAAACATTGTTTTAGTGTTAAAGTAATATCAGTCTTGAGAGGGCGCTATACAACATAAAGAATTTATTGTTTACACTTTTATTACTTGAGACTCGATTTCAACCGAGACAGAGATCATTGAATATTGTAAAATCGCATACATGCTTCATTTCAAATAAATTCATGACCCCATACCAAAACTTTGTAATACCTTTAAGGCGGCAACTTATTCTCTGTCATATTCATTGACAATACTTCAATAGGAGCATTCGCAACAGGCCTACTTATTGTTATTAATACAGCCTTTAAAACCATAAAATAGTTTGAAATAATAGAATTTTACTGAATTATTGCATTTGTAAAATGTTGGTCTGACAAGCGTGAACAATAATATTATTATAACTGCTAAATTCGTTTGATAGATACCGGTTCATTAGTTGTGAAATTAGATATTATGGGACACAGTGTTTTTTTTAATAATTTTTTTTTTTTAAACATAATAATAAACTTATATGTCATTGCAATATTGTATTAAGGGAAACATGTTCGCTGATGTTATGTTACCTTAAGGAGTGAAAGTCGTATGACTCAACGTGTACATGCTGTATTGATATTTTCCCTTCGAATTTTAGGTAATTGTTAGTGAAGAAAATGCAGGTGAGGTGAGCCAGCAAATATCAGCTGTTACTTCCAACATCGAAGATATCACATCAGATGACATCTCGTTTGTGACACAGATAACATCCAACATTGTGCAGCAAAATCTTACTGGTGAAGAGGTATTCTGCACGATGCAAAACTGATCCTATTGAACTTAAAGTTGCGATTGTTGATAAATTTTATTATGTTCCGTTAATTATCTAATGGGGAATAAATTTGAGTCTTCCCTCTGATACATGTATAAAATTGTCAAATTTGTGAAAGAAGGAAATCCCATAACCAGTTTTAACAATATTGGACGCCTTGAATCTAAACTACTGTGAATAGAAAATTGACTAGAGCCTTACCTTGTATCAAGCTCTTTTTTAAAATCATTTTGTATAATACTTTATTGGTTCTATGACTGATTGAGGCGTGTCACTGTCCTTTAATATCTTTTGACCCCTTGGCAGTTGCTTTTTCCAGAAGTTGTGTAATAGCTTTAGAATAACAGCTGTGCTAAAGCTGTCATGTTATTTAATACCTTATCGTCATTCAGTTTGACTTTCAAGATTTGGCATTTTTCTCCTGCTATAGTTTAAATCATCTTCATATTTTGTATTTGAATTGACAGGTAACAGAGTCAATAACAAGTATTGTGAGCAATATAGCTCAGGTAGACACAGAGGAACTTGAAGCCGCAGAGGAAAATGGTGGGGCAATAAGTAAATTTGTCCAGGCTTTTGAGGAACAAATCAGTCGTGTTGAGGTTGCCGATGGTGAGATGCTCAACATTCAGCAGCCATATGTAGCCGTACAGGTGATTTTACATTGATATCGTAGGCTATAAAAAAATAGTTTGATTCAACCAGTATGATAAAATATAGAATTTCATGTCCAAATTATATATTTGTAGACATGAATATTCAAAATGAAAAGAATTGAAGAAAAAAGCTGACACTGCCATTCGTCCATTCTCGTCTCATTCTATCTGGTGTCCAACAAGGCGCGACACTTTCACCATATTTGTTTTCATTAAAAAAAAGATCTACCAAGCAACATCATTATTTAATGAAATAAAAGGGAGCAATTAATTATATTCCAATCCAAATAGAACAATTTTAGATCAAGTTTGAACACCTCAACTGATATGCTTTCAAGGGAGAACATTTCACAGCGAAGGCTCTGCATGAGCAAAGGTACCCTCTCCCAGTTCCCTTATTTTGGATAATAATGATAAAGATAATAATAATAACTATAATTTAAAAAAAATATTGATATTATTGTTAATAAAAAAAATATAAAAATACAATAATAATGATAATAATATTCATAATAAAAAATGAATATGATAATAACAATAATGATAATAATTCAAGTTCTGGTTCTAATAACAGGTCCAGAGTGTACCTGCTGAGGACATAATGCGTGGCCTTGTGCTTTCGCTAGCTGGATCCAGTCTTTCAGACCTGACCAAGTCCAATATTACCATCAATGCTCCGACCCAAGATGACCGCGATGAGAACATTGCTACCAGACCAGACACTATTGCTCAGGTCAACATTCCACCTTCAGTTTCATCCATCATTTCGTCCACGGCCCCACTCTCAGGATCGCCGTCGAATGGCAGTGGTGAATACGTCCGGGTCAACTTCAATGTATTTTCAACTCCAGCCCTGTTTATTTCTAAATCATTGCGCACATTCAGTGCAGATAATGAAGGCTTCAATCGATCAGCTAACTCTCCCGTTATTTCTCTCAGTATTGGTCAAGGGAAAGTAGCAGCCTTGACCGAATACATCAACTTTACCTTCACTACAATAATGGTAAGACCTATAACAATTAAAGTCAGAATAACGTTTTTTCATATATTCAATTCAATCCTATTTTATTTATTTTTCCAAGAAATAAAAACAAAACATACAGGATAAACAAAAGCAGTATACAAAGTATCACACAATTACAATAACTAACATAGATAAACACAGAAATACATAGAATCAATTTACAAACATGAATAAATATTGTTAAAAACACAAGGGAAATCGCTTAGCTGGTAGCAGCCAGAAAGGTGGTGGTCTTTATATGCGACTGACCAAATAATCAAATATAAAAATTATTATGATTTAATTTAAGCTATAATAACAAGTACCGGTAAAACAAATAACTATTACATGTAGAATGTAATGAATTTAACAACCATTGAAATCTTTAGCTACCATTAATAAAGGTCCATCAAATATTTTTTTGTATTGACGTTTAAAAGTGTTAACAAATTTAAATTCACGTATTACACGAGGTATAGCACTCCATAATAAAGCAAGTTTCATTATATATTACTGTACGTTTATATGAAGTTGTATGTACAAGGGGCAATTGAAAATCATCAACAATTCTAGTACTATAGTGGTGTATATTACAATTTAAAGTTAAACATTATACGTATTTCAATCTATTTTCTTTATTTTTTCCCTCGTTATAAATGGGCTTTTAAACTAAACCTATCAAAACAATCATTCAGTCTTCTTTAATGCCTTATTAACAAATTGTATTATAGGTCTACGCATTTCTTGCTTTTCTTTTGTTATTGTTGTGTAGTCTGGATACGTGAATCCCAATTGTTCATTCTGGGATGAGGAGCAGGAAGATTGGTCCCAAGATGGGTGTGTTCTTGTTTCTGGATTCACATCATCTGATGATGAGGAGAGCGTGCGCTGTGCGTGTGATCATCTTACCAACTTCGCTGTTATAATGGTCAGTGAAAAGCAAATAGGCAATGATTACACAGGTATACACATTATCACCATTTAACTACTCCCCGAACTACTATAACCCGACTAACTAAACGCAGTAGGTTACTAGAGCTATAACGTGATAATCCTTTTGATGAAACAGGGATAAAGTTGGTCCTACGGATTAAATAGTATGGTCTTTGTAATATACAGTGCGTCCCAGAAAAAAACAAAACCGAGAATTGTTGAGGTTTTAACCCTTTGTTAACCCGGTGGTAAATTTGCCCCCCCCCCTCCCTGGAGTAATTTAGTGACTACTCCGGAACTGCGACAGATATTAGGTTTTCCTTTCACGACTTTTTTCTTTCGAGTTACACATCTTTTTTTTTAAAAATGAAAATCGGACGTATAGTTACATATATTCACGTGACCATTTGTCTTTGAATGTCACCCCGAAAATCGCTCATTGTTGTGATTTGTGTACAAAACATATGGAAATATCATTTTACCTAAAAGGAGATAAAACATTGGTTATTTGGTCTTGTTCAAAGTTAAGGTGTTTGTTTGGGGGTCAAGATAGTTGAATTGTAATTAGAAATGAAATAAAACAACAAAAACAATAACATACATAATTTAAAAAGCAATGAAAAACATAACACAATCCGTCCTTGTTTTCACGAAGTGACGGTATAGTGAGGAAAATTGTAATGCAAAGTGAATGCAATTTTTTTCACTACCGTCACTTCGTAAAAACAGTGACGAATTATCAAAACAAGAAATAACAGTTGTAAAGCTTAGAACCTCTGCTTTCATTTGATGCAACTCATATGATGCATATGTCACACATGAGTGATTAGAAACAATTCGAAGAGAGGGTCACAAAAAGTCATTTGGCGGGCGGTATCGGAATTACAAAGAGAAAATCACATTTCTAGAAAGTTCATCTTCTGCCCTTTCATATAACACCTCAATCAGGGAAAATGAGTTAGGAATAACAAAGTTCTGTTTGTTTAAAGTAATGCTTGCATTTCCATAATTTTGATTAAACGAACTCGTTTTCACTGGCTGCCTGTCATAGCAACAAACAGAGTTGACAAAAGACTTAACTCTGTTTCATTGACGACCAGCAACGTATCAAGTCCCTCGTCTTCTTTGTACATGGCTGATTGTCAACGAAACTGCCAAAGAACGATGGAGTGTAGAGCTGGTCTTCAATTGGGCATGAATAATATTCTCACTCTTGAGATCAAAAAAAAGTTTGAAGGTGTGGTGTCTTGTGTGAAAGGAAGTAAATTGATATTCTTTGTTTTCTTTCCGGCAGTAATATAAAACTACTCCACTTTCTATAATGAACCCCAGTTTTTCGGTTTTCAATTAATGACACAAAGACTTTATGAAAGCTGATGGATAAATAATCAGTTTTATTTGAGCATTCAAGGAAGATGTTTCAGTTTGGGCACACATTTCTTTTATGTTACAGGATATCCATAGAAATGAGGGCCCTGCCGACACAGCATACAACATCCTGACTTACATTGGCTGCGGTATTTCTATCTTCAGTATTCTTGTTACATTGGCAACCTACCTGTGGAACAAGTGAGCCCAATTAGAAAAATATGCAATCATTAATGTAATACAAAAGAGACAGATTCTCTGGTCAATTTAAAATGGCCACCTTTTGGTCGAAAGTATCTCTTAATCTAACGATTTGTGAAATACGTATAAATCTGGAGCACGGTTCTATTCCGTATCACTTCTGTTTGAACCAGCAGGGCTATTTAGAACTACTATCAACAATGTACAGTTCATGATAGTAGGCCTAAGGGAAGGAGGAGGAGGAGGAGGGGAAGATGGAGGAGGAGGAGGAGGAGGAGGAGGAGGGAGAGGAGGAGGAGGAGGAGGAAGAGGAGGAGGAGGAGAAGAAGAAGAAGAAGAAGAAGAAGAAGGTGGAGGAGGAGGAGGAGAATAAGAAGGAGGAGGAGGAGGGAGAGGAGGAGGAGGAAGAAGAGGAGGAGGAGGAGGAGGAGAAGAAAAAGAAGAAGAAGAAGAAGAAGAAGAAGAAGAAGGAGAAGAAGAAGAAGGTGGAGGAGGAGGAGGAGAAGAAGAAGGAGGAGGAGGAGGAGAAAAAAAGCCATAATAAGAGCATTTGCTTAGTGATATATGGGTGGTGTGATGAAGGTCACAAATAGGTTACAATATTAATTTGTTTATATCATATCAATATTAAATAATATACATTGATATTCTATCAACATCGTGAATCACATCTTCTGCCTCATGGTGTGCAGTTTGCATATAAAACAGAACATCTTTGGCGTACATACATATTTCCCATTTGACATCGTCCTGGATAGTTACACCCAGATTAGTTTTATTTAACACGCCTGGCAATTCTGGGGATTTGTGCCCAACAATAAAAGAGATACATGTATATAAGTTAAGCACAATCACGAAATTTCCTTCATTTTACAAACAATTTGCCCTTAATTTTATTGCTTTAACGCTTTCATAACCTTATTATAATGTTGCAATTTTGATAGGGATTTGAGGACCAAACAGACTAGCCAGATCTTCATCTGTCTGTGCCTGACCTTGCTGTGTCTCTACACGACATTTGTCATCATGATCTCCCTGGATTCTCGTGAGGTCCAAGCTGGACCCTGTGGGTTCCTGACGGCCCTAGTTCACTACTTTGTTTTGTCCTCCATTGCATGGATGGGTGTGGAAGGGTACAACACCTACCTCATCATTGTGAAGATCTTTAACACCTACATCGAGAAGTTTATGATCAAGGCTTTCTTAGCTGCATGGGGTAAAATATTTCTTTCCATAAATGTTTTTTCTGCAATCAACTTTCAGCAATCAAAAACATGATGTATGGGTGATCAAACATAATTCTTATACTATTCATATGTAATAAAATAATTCAAAAACTGGCAGTGTATTATATTCATTTAGCCATTCTTACTAAATGGACAATAATTGTGGAAATATCACATTTCGACGGACTTTACTCCAACAGACATCATCTAAGGCTATGATCACAACCCAGAGCGGCGACCGACCGATTTGTAGCCTGCTCGGTCGCCGCTGGAATTTAGGCATCGCTCAACGATTTTTGGAGAACTAGTCGAGCAGGTTGCAGAGCCCAAGCTTTGCCCGGGCGGCGGCCGCTCCGTCCCCGGGCAAAATTGGCTAAAAACTCGCAACCCGGCCGCCGAGCAGGCTACTTGTTGGTGTTGTGACCACAGCTTAACAACGCACATAGATTCGTCGTAGTTGTCATTTATGTTTAATTTCCTCATTATAAGTATTAAAAATGGCATGCGATTCGTACAAAGAAGACTCTAAACCCCATAGACTATACAACTCAAGATATCTATTCAATTTTAAAATAATTATTGTGTCACCATAACCGTAGTAAAAACCTGTGAGCTGGACAGTACAACGATGACATGAGAAGGCCTATTAGAGAAAAGGAGAAAGGAATGAGCTAGGCCCATAGCCAATTTAGGTATATTATGAATGATTATTACATGCACTTCCTTACATGTATGTCATTTCAGGAATTCCTGCACTTATCGTGGTTCTTACCGGAGCTGTTGCTAGAGACTCTTACGCCCATGATGATCTGTAAGTGGTAATTTCCTTGCAGTTTAGCTGGAATATTGGATTGCATAGCATAGGGCATATCACATGATCTTTGAATTTCGGATTCAGCAAAATCACGTTTCTGTACTTCAATCTAGTTTTTAAGCATTTGTATTTGGTATCTCATGAGTAAGCAAGTATGTTATTATGATCTGGAATTGGTATTTAGATATCACTTTCGTGGGTATGTGTTGTGATCCAAACTCTAGAAAGACCACCAAGTGAATACAGTCACCACCCATACTAAAAGCTCAGATGTTGTTGGTAAATTTTGGGACAATAAAGCTTGGACTTGCCAAAATCAACAATGGGAAATTATTTACAATTCTGACTTAAAATGTTTCAAGGAGCATGGAGATTTTGTAAAACTGTCGCTAAGATAGTCAGTACTGATTGACTTTAATAATTCAGTCACTTTTCAAAATGCATATTTACTATCGATAGATGCTTTCTACAATTCTGGGCTCAAATCGGTGGTCTCCTGATTCCCATGTCCATCATCCTCTTCATCAACATCGTCATCTTCATCCTGGTGGTTCAACAATTGATCCGGTCAGCCAACTTCGCTGGTCGGGTGAAAAAAGAGGCTAAGGCAGAACGTCGGGAGACTATTGTACGCGTCCAGAACGCGATTTGCATCTTGCTCCTGCTCGGTCTGACCTGGGTCGCTGGATACCTTCTTTTGATTCCAACATTTAGTCAGGTAAATTAGCCAACTAGCTTCAAAAATAACTCATGTATGGTATTTATCACTTCTAAGAAGTATCTTGAAAACTCAATTATGATAATTACATACGCCAGCAATACCTCTTTAGATCTTTAGTATCTGAAGTACATGAGAAATAATGCCATATACCTAATTATCATTTCTGAAACATTTGCGTTTAACAGGTGGCTCAGCCAATCTTCATCATCCTGAACTCCTTCCAAGGATTTTTCATCTTTCTACTCTACTGCGTCCGGAAGCCTCACATCCGTAAGAAATGGGGGCTAACTTGTTTCGACAAGTTCCTAAAGAAAAAAGCAACCACTTCAAGTGGTGAGGTAAGCTCGACGGCGCTATCATCGTCAGCTGGCATGAATAGCAATTTGCGCCCAGGAGCCTCGGATAATTACTTTTTGCCTACCAAAGGCGACGATTCCGATCCTATGTGTATGTTTAATCCTACCTATGATGTTAGTCAGGTTGAGGAAGGGGTCACGCCACCTATGACCAATGATATCCAAAGCTCCACAGAGGAACAGAAGAAGGACGCGGATCATGATGCAACAAGCGTTGATGTTGTGACGGTAAGTCTCCCTATTGAAGCATCTGTCACAAAAGCCTCTGAGAGAAGTGATGGTGTTTCCTCCCAACATAGATGCTGACACGGTCATTGTAACACTGGATTCAAATGATGCCAGGAAAGCTACTGAGGGTACCGATGATGCTGCTTCTGCAACAAGTGATGATGCCTTCAATCTTCCAATGGATTCAACGGATATCAAGAAAGGAAATTAGAGCAGTGACATAGATACCAGTAGCACCACCAATTTTGCAACTGCCAATGGCACAGTTTCGGTGTTGACTATAGCGATGTATCCATTCTTACTTGATTACAAAAAAATTGTAAACAGCTTTTGTATTAATTTAGTTTTAAGCAAGAAGAAGGTCTTATTAAGAGAACATGACGTCATATTGGCATACTAGGCAGGGTATGGGTGGTCTGGGTGTCGTCTGAACCCCCATCTATTTTCCCCAAGCATTTGTTATTTAAGAGGTCTCTGCCTGGAATCGGAACAGGTCACTGGCTGAGAACGCCAATGCCTTAACCACTACACCACACTGAACCCTCCCATCCCCCTTCCCCAAGAATGTTGCAATTACCAATAGTCCGTCACCACATATTCGGGCAACCAGGTGGTTGTTACTTGTTATCATCTTGATCATATTTCAATGACGACATTATATATGTACATTTATATGTACCGTATGGAAGCATTTCTGATCAGATGATTTTTTGTTTTAAAATAATGGTTTATGGTGTATTACTCAGATAAGAGATGTTTTCATTGTTAAAAAAAAGGATTATGTTGATGGTGCGATGTTTTTTTTTCAATTTATTTTAGTCATGACTATGTATATGTATATTGAGAATGTAAATTACTGGTAGATAATAATGGTTGTGTAGCTTTAAAAAAGGTCCCAATTGCTGTCCTCTTTTTAAAATTTGTTTCAAAGGTTGAACAAAAACTGTCTCTGTCGGGAATCGAACCGGGTCACTGGCCGAGAACGCCAATGCCCTAACCACTAGACCACAAAGAAGTCCCCACCCCCCCCCTTCCCGGAGCATTTTACATTTACCAATAGTCCGTCACCACATATTCAGGCAACCTGGTGGTTGTTATCATATGTCAATGACGAAATTATATATGTACATTTATATGTACCGTATGGAATCATTCATGATCAGATGATTTTTTTTGTTTGGAATAAATAATACTTTGTACTCAGAGAAGAGGTCTTTTCATTGTTGAAAAAGTATGTTCATGATGATGAATATGGTACGATGTTTTTTTTTCTTCTCAATTTGTTTTAATTACTTATGATATAGTATGTATATTCAATTATCGGAATGGAAATTGTATAATAATGGTTACGTAGCTTAAATACAAGATCCTCATTGCTGTCCTCTTCTTATATTATTTTTTACAAAGGTTGAACAAGATTGTCTCCGACGGGAAATCAAACCGGGTCACTGGCTGATAACGCCAATGCCGAAAACAATAGACCACACAGAACCCCCCCCCCCCATCCCCCTTCCACAAGCAATTTGCAATTATCACTATTCCGTCACCACATATTCGGGCAACCAGGTGAATGTTATTTGTGATCGTCTTTATGATATTTAAATGACAAAATTATATCTGTACAATTTATATGTAGCGTATCGAAGGGTTCATGATCTGGAGATTTTTTGTATATGATACTTTGTGATGTATTACTCAGTAAGAAAGTTTTTCCATTTTTGACAAAAAGTATAATAATGATGCTACTTGTACAATGATTTTTGTTGTTGTCATTTCATTTTAGTCGTCATTTGTCATGACATAGCCTAATATATATATATATATATATATATATATATATATATATATATATAATGCGAAAGGAAATTAAACAATAAAGGTTGTGTAGCTTAAAACAAAGTTCCCAATTGTTATCCTCTCTTTTAATTTCTTTACAAAGGTTGAAAAAAATTGTCTCCACCAAGAATCGAACTGTGTCACTGGAAGCGAACGACAAAGCCTTAAACCGCTAGACCAGTGATACTTGAGGTAGTTGACGAAAAATAGACCAGTGAATACAAAGTAATGTAAAAAAATGTAGGAGATACAAAATAACCTAATTTTGGGGTTTAAACCTTTGTCAAGTAATGAAATACCTTGTTGTTTCATGATTATACTGTCTATATAGTTTTTTTTTGCTTTTTAATTTTAAGTGTCTTAGTAGAAATTGATATCACCATATTTTACTCAGAAAAATGTACTTTTAATCTACATTATTTTGTTTGTCTTCGTTACCAATTTTGTTAAAGCATAAACTTTATTGTTCAGGGTGTCCCTGACAAAAGGAGACCTAAGTCTATCGTTAAATCTTCCAAATATTCCAGCACAATTTTAGGTTAATGTGCACATAATAGAAAAGCTAATAAGCAAATAAATGATTTTCCTTCAAAAAGCGATCGAGGTTAATTGTCTGTAAGCCCTATGCATATTAACTTACACTGACACGAATTAAGGAAGAAATATTATGTAATAAACGTGACAGGAATTTACATATAGATATACAAATGTAGACACACAAAAAATAGGTTCAAATGTACGCAGACATATTTACATATGACGAAAGTAAGAGTCACGGGGAAAATACTTTTTTAATTAACTGTGCGAATGGTAGGCATTTAGACTAGCCATAAAGTTATGAAAATGAAAAATAAGAATATCAGGCTTTACATGATGACTTTCAATAATCAATATTCCCAAATCATTTGTCTTTGCAAAACAACTTTCATCGACTCGTCAGACTGTCTTAAATCAGTCGTGTGTGATTCAATGATCATATTTTTTTTTGGTCATATGATAGAAAGGAAAATGACCTTTTCAGTGATGTATATATTAATGATAGCAAATAATTTGGGAAATTATTGAGTAATTTACGAATATAAACTTGGGTTTCTATTATCACGGACACCGAGTACTGTAGGTTGTTTCAATTTTGCTAAGTTAATTTCTGATACTGCTGATAGCATGATAAATCAGAACGTTACTGTTACTATCATTTGTATTATTGTGCGCAACAAGAAATTTATAAAAGCATGCTTAGTAATAAAGTAAATGGTGGAGTGGAAAGTTGGTATTCACATTGTTTGTATAATCAATTATTTCACATATTCATATTTCCATTGCGATTTAAAAATGTATGCAATCTTAACTATTCTATACATAGCTGTCAAAGCTAGCAAATAAGTGAAATAACAAGAGAGCCCACTATCCACAAGATTACTAGCATAATCCGGGTTTGGATTTGTATTGGTATTTATTCAAAGAATTCCACATTGCAGCCGAGGGGCTGAATTACATGGATTCTACCACGTAAAACGACAAAAGACAAAATGTATTACAAATGTATACATACACCATATTAATTCAATAATAAAATGATATAAAGAAGAGAAATAGAGAGAAAGAGGGAGAGAAATTGAGAGACAAGACTGAAAAGAGAAAACAAGAAACGGTGATATAGAGGCAGAAGGGTGGGAATCTAAAGGAAGATATTATGAATTACATCATAAATGAGAGATTGATTAACTAAGTAATCATCTGTTGTGTCACTTGGTACATTTTAAAATTTTGGTTAAATATAAATAATTGTAGCAAGCGGGGGTGAAGAGTAGGAAAATAGAGGAGAATTAATTGAAGAGAACAGAAGTAGTTTGAGATGGCAGAAGTGAGACATATAGAGGAAGAGAGAGATAGAGAGAGAGAGTGGGAGGAAGAAGGTGAAGAGGAGTAAATATGTATGTATATATATATATATATATATATATATATATATATATATATATATATATATATGATAACAGGCGCGTACACAGGGGGGGGGGGGGGGGGGGTTAACCCCCCCCCCCCCCCCACCTTTGGTATTTTGTTAAAGTTTTTTTTTTAATAATAATAATTGAAAAAAAATAATACCAAAAGCTGACCTCTAACCCCCCCCCCCCCCCTTGAAAAGATCCTGCGTACGCGCCTGTATGATAATACCATCAATACATTGTGATATTATATAGTGAGAGCAATTATGGGGAATGTAATTTATGATAAATGTTTACATTTTGAAGAAGAAAAAAAAGAGAGGATGGAAGTTCTTTTCCTCGTACAGTTTATGTTGACAACTTACAGTTTGGCTATTGTTCTAAATATCACTTAAAAGTGTACAACATGATCGAAACACTTCCAAAAATCAACTCAAGGGTAAATGCAATAATTATGATTATTTGTTTTATCTAGATAAGATAAGTTTTATTGGTCAGAAAACATAATGATTTACAAAATATGCGTTACTTATAATAATTATGATTATGGCTAATATGGTAATTTTCATGTGAGACGAGCCATCAGGCTTGCCTGAGCTTTACTATGATTAGATATCGTCATGCAGTAGGCCGGTTTACCAACACATGCAAATTGTATTCATACTGTTTAATGAAAAGTTATTCTTGACATCCCGAAAGCTTGTAATTTCATCTTCGGTCTGTTGTCATTGGTGTGACCAGTGGCGTACACAGGATTTTTTCAAGGAGGATGGTTGAATATTTGAAAATCGCGCCGACCGACATTTCACTCAGTGTGAGGGGGGGGGGGGGGGGGAAGGGTGGTAGTGAGCAATTTTTGTTCCCTTCTTTTGTGCCCCGGAAATGATCGCGCCGACAGATATTTGCCTCAGTGGGGGGGGGGGGGGGGAGTATCAATTTGTTTTCACTCAACACCCACCCCCCCCCCCCTTAACAAAAAATAAGGGGGGTTTTAGCCCCGAAACACCTCCCCTGCGTACGCGCCTGGGTGTGACTGAGGAACTATGGGCTTAATTCTCTCTCCCTCTCTCTTCACCCCACCCCCTCTCCCCTAAACAAATAGAATAACGTTTACTCATGGATGAAGACTGAATTACAACACCCAAGTACTAGCACCAAGGAGACCGACACCAGACCGCATACAGACCGAACAAAGTATTACTTTAAATCAAAAGACCAAGAATTAGTCGGTTTGGGATCGGTGTGGAGTCGGTTTGGCACAGCGGTGTGACTGCGGAGTTAATTAGCCTGGTCTTAGTAACGCAATCGAAGACAGTTGTGATACCCCAGTAACACCGAGAAGACCGACACCAAATCGACTCCAAAATGACTCTTGGTCGTTAGTCGCAATGTACATTGTTATTCGGGCTGGAGTCGATCTGGTGTTGGTCTCATCGGTGTGATTGAGGTATAGAGGCTTACGTAATTGAAAAACACTCTATTTCTGCGAACCAACTCATTGATTCTGATAATGTAACCTTATAAAAAACAATGTAAGTGGTCACGAGAACCGTAATTATTCATGTCAAACAACTTGATTTATTTACACCCGTAGTAACGTTTTCAAAACAAAAAAATACGACCCGTTCTTTCCAAGGACGTTCACATGAGAATCCCACTTGTTGGATGATTGCTCAATTATACACAAATGAAACACAATACAATACAATACTGAACGCAATCCCCATCACCACCAAGTATGCAGGGGTGGCGGTGCGTCTTCCAAAATAGGGGGATGGGGCACCAACACAAAGGGCACTTTCCGGAAGAAAAAAAGGGGCACGTACAAAGGGAAACATAAACAAAAACGGGTATATACCCCTTCATCGTCGTGAATGTGATTACACTACCAGGGATGATATCAATATGTGTTTCTTTCTTTAC